GCAGAGTGTATATCCTGGAGCAGTGTGTAATATGGCAGAGTGTATATCCTGGAGCAGAGTGTAACGGTGTGTGCATCTTGTCAGCTGTTAGCTCGTCTGGAGGCACGGCGCTGCCTTAAGGATATTGAGCCTCGTCTGTTTCCGGAAGACCGAGGACCCGACCAAGGTGACTGGCCACGCCCACCCACTCACAGCTGACACATGCTGTCAGTCAGGTGACTGTCTCACTGTATGTGTTGTTTCTTGCTCTCAGGTGCGGTGGTGGAGCTGTTTGGGCTGGAGGGCACAGGTGAGTTCACGATGCAGGAAGTGCCTCCACCTTTAACCTGGATGTAAACTGTGTGTGTGTGTGTGTGTTGCTCAGGTAAGACGGAGCTGCTGTATCACCTGCTGTGCCGCTGCGTGCTGCCGGAGGCAGCTGGGGGTCTGGAGGTGGATGTGGTGTTTGTGGACACCGACTACAGCCTAGACATGTTACACCTGGTCAGCATCCTGGACAGCAAACTGAGCGCAGGTATATGCACACGCATGCACACACACAAACAAACAGGAAGTTACACACTAACCCTTTCTCTCCGGGTCCTTAGCGCTGTTGGCCGGAGCAGACGAGGCGGCGCTGCGCTCATGTCTGTCCCGCCTCCTGTTTGTTCACTGCTACTCCTCCTCACAGCTCCTCCTCACCCTCCACTTCCTGGAGACCACCTTGTCATCACGGCCCGCCCTGGCGCTCATCCTCATAGACAGCATTTCCGCGTTTTATTGGGTGGATCGCTGCGAGGGTGGGGCCAGCTACACCAAACAGGAGGAGAAGCTCAGTAGGTGTGCGGAGCTGCTGGGACGCCTGCTCAGGTGGGTGGAGTTAGACTGATTCAGGCTGCTCGCAGGTCATGCGTTACAGTGCGCTGCGTGACATCACCACCACTCTGAAGGCTGAGCTCTGATATGATCACGGTCATGTGCGCAGCTTTTCTCTTTCAGGTACAAACACATGTGCAGAGTGCCCCCTGGTGGTCAAACTGCAGTGTCAGCACCGTAGGTCAGGGTGTTGGCTGGTCAATCGCTCACGCTCTGACGAGTGTTTGTGTAAAATGTTGGTTTGTTCGTGTTTTGCTGGGTCAAATACCGAGCCTGAGTGGAGCCTGTGGTGGTTCTGTTCTGGACTGTGGCTCACTAATTTTCTGATTTTTGACTCCTCCTACTCCACAGGGATTACAGAATTACTGTCTTCGCCACCTGTCACGCCATCAGGAGGCCCGGCGTCTCCTCCTCCTCCTCAGACTCCGAGCGGTCGTACCTCTGCCGTTCCTGGCAGAGGCTGGTGACCCACCGGCTGCTGTGCTCCAGGCAGGAGCCAGGAAACAACATGGCTGCCGAAGGAGGACACGACCAGGAGCAGAGGAGACAGCAGATCTTCACCGTCCACTGCACCACCTTCTCTTCGAGGGTCAAGGTCTCCTGGAGCAGCTCCTTCTGTGTGACGGAGGCAGGAGTGGAGTTCCTGTCGGCGTCGGAGGAGAACAAATGTGCTGCACGTCAGTAACTCAGACTCTGGTCCAATCATGGATCAGGGAGATGTCCGTCATCTGGCTGAGGGACCAATCACATTTGAGCCCTCGCCGCAGACACGCCCCTCACAGCACAGACTGTTTACTTCATCTGCGTGTTTTTCTGTGTGATGTGATTCTGTGCTCTGACTGCTGCTCGGCCCACAGTGGAAACAGGAGCAGACTGTAATGAGCTGCACAGGTGGGACTGTACAGGGAAAATGGAGGGGGTGGGGTCAGGATGAGGTCATTGTTAGGGGCCAAAGGGTCAGCATTAGTGTTTGTGTTCAATAAACTGGACATGTATGTTGTGACCTGTGTATTTGTTTCCACTCAGACCCATCAGCAGATTGTAGATTAATTAATAATAACTGAGGTGGGTGTGGCGTCAGCTCCAGGTGCTGCAGGTATACTGGTACTGTGGGCGGAGCTTATTCTCTCCTGTCTGATATACATAACACATGAAACGACGATCATAACCATCAGTGTTATCCAAGACAGACACGCCCACCACGTCAGCATCCCTGTGATGAGGGTGATGACGTCACTGTCACGGACAGTTTGGCTCTTAAACTTTAGTGGCTAATAACCGGAACCTCTTACTGCAGGCGTGGCGCTCTCGGGTCGACACTAACCTGACCCTTGACCCCGACCCTCTGCTCCGTGCTTGGGCACGTGCCTGGCGCGGTCCGGATCCTCGCGCTCCGCTCCGGGACTTCCAGGTCTGCTGACAGAGCCGCTTCACCAGAGCAGTCCTCCAACTGATCCCTCCGCGGGGTCAGACACACTTTTTACACAACACAAACAAATATTCCCGGTGCCCGCGTGGAGGCTTGCACACCGGCACTTTTCACAGGCCGATCCTCGGTACACGCCGCCCGTGTCTGGGTCTGACGGGAGCGTGCGGCC